AGGAGGAGGAAGAAGAGCCGGAAGAGCACGAGCATTTGGAAGATCCCGAGTGCGAAGCACAAGAGGAGGAATGGAAGAAGAAAGTGGCGGACCTACGAAAGCCGATGGAGCTTCAGATGCTTCGGTTTTGCGTTCCGTTGGAGAGACATACTGGGAAGGAGATCCTCGAGTGCATCCAGGACCTGTATGTGCAGCTGAGGGCAATGGGCCTACCGTTGACCAGGATTCACAGCGACAGAGCTAGAGAGTTCCGGGTCAAGCCAGTGCGAAAATGGTGTCGGGAGCGGGACATCTACCAAACGTTCACAGAGGGCTTGGCGCCTACACAGAATGCGGTGGCGGAAAGTCATGTGAAGTGGCTCAAGGGCAAGGCGAGAGTCCACCTCAACGAGATGGAGTTGGACAAGGAGCTTTGGCCTTGCGCTATGAAGCACGCTTGTCACCAGCACAACACGAGGCAGATGGGGACAAAGGCTGCGAGTATCAAGTTCGGCTCTGTTGTTTGGGTGAAGTCCAAGAAAGACAGAGGACCTTTTGACCCAAAGTGGGAGAGAGGCAAATATATGGGTCCAGCAGATGATGTACGTGAAGGTCATGTTGTTCGCCTAGATGATGGTCTTTGGCTTCGCACCCTACACATGAGGACGGTGAGGGATGACGAAGTGGAGTTGGAAGATGAGGAGCACGTTGTCGACCTCATCGAGCCTACAAAACGCGTGCGGGGCAAGACCAAGCTAGCAGAAGTGCGGGCGATCCGCAAACAGGAGAGGAGCGTCTTGGTGAAGGAGCTGCTGGAGTCCAAGATCTGGGATTCGCCCCAGGCCAAAGTTGAACGACCTCAGATGAAAGAGGGTGAAGTCTGGGATGGCGCGGCGTACATCAACTTGGGTGCGTACCAGCATGGGGGAATTACCAGCATCACCAGGGCAACAGAGAAGTTCAACAAGGAGGCAGTCCTGGCAGCTAGGCTACTGGCTATTGATCACCCGGGATCCTCGTTTACCTCAGTGGCCTTGGTGAAGAATGCAGTGATGCCAGTGCACCGAGATTCCTTCAACCACAAGAAGGCGATGAACTTGATATCGCCTCTCAAGGTGGCGAAGGGAAGCTGTGTGTGGCAGGAGCTAAGGGAGGGGGACGAGTTCAAGGGGAACTACTACGCCATGCGGGTGGATGAGAAGGAAGTGCCCGGCCAGAAGATGAGTGTGGAGTTTCCGGCGAAGATCCGTCCCGACCGTCTTCATGCACCACTCAGAGGGGAAGATGGAGACAGGATTGTGGTGATTGGGTATACCGTGAGCAAGTGGGAGAAACTTCGGCAGTTTCAATGCGACGATTTGGAGGAGCTGGGTTTTGTCCTACCGGAGCGGGA